GTGAGTGTGTGTGTGTGTGTGTGTGTGATGGATGCTCGGCTGTGTGTGCTGTTCAGCGTCGCGCTTCTCATCCGTCTGGCGCTGCTGTGCTTCGGTGTGTATCAGGATCAGAATCTGCAGCTCAAGTACACGGATGTGGATTATCACGTGTTCACCGACGCCTCCAGGTTCATCACACAGGTGACAGATATAGCTAATAACACATCTGGATTTTACCAAAGGATTTTTTTATGTGTTAGAAGTGGGTTTCCATAGACTCCTGCCTAATAACAGGCCAATAATATGACTTTGGATCAGAAGAAGAATCTGATCACTGTGTGTATGAGACACTCTTCTACACACACACACACACACACACACACAGCCGGGCTGCTGTTTCTGCTCATAAACTCTCTCATACTGGGACAAATAATCTCCCATTACAGACCCGCAGAGGCCCAGCTGAAGAAGACCGACTGACAGACGCCCGTGAGAAAACATCTCTTTACACATTATGGCAGCTGAACACACGTACAGATGCAGAAGAGTGTTTCTACATGTCTCAGTGATATATTTATCATGCAGATATCGTCTGGTTGAGAGGATTCAGATGTGCTGACCACTAGATGTCGCCCAACAGCAGATCTCCAGATGAACGGCACAGTTTGACTGATCTGATTGTTCAACACTTTACATCTGATAAAGAGAACAGATGAGCTTGTAAATGAGGTGTAGATGCTTTGTGATGTGATAGTGAGCGTGTGTGTCTATGCAGAGATGATCGTGACTGTGGACAAACACGTTTTATGAGCAATATTGACACGTCTGAGGCGTTTGCAGATGTGTGTGTGTGTGAAGAGTCGAGCCCGCCCACCCGGCGACGTCGCACCAATAGGAACGAGTGTTGACTGGCGGTGGGCGGGGCATCTGGAATAATTCATCATCAGGAGGAGCTGCAGTTATTTCTCTCAGATCAGCGTTAAACGGGATTAAATCATCTCTGCTGTGACTAGTTTAGTCTCTCTGGGGTTTTTTCGCTACATTAGAAGCTTGAAAAATCTTCTGTTGTCACAAAATGTTCTGGTAAACGTTTTTCCAAAATACTGGGCGCAGTTATTGAATGCACAAGCAGTCTGCAGATCTGTTTATGTCTGACAAGTTCACTGTTATTACTCGCACACAACACGGTCTCATTAAAGTGTTCAGAAGGAGCAGCTGAAGCTGGAAACCATTGTTATTCATAACAAAACACTACAACACCACATAAGCGGGGTCTTTTTGTCATACAAGATTTTTATTTTTATAAAAGTAATAAATATAACAGGAAGACCCACATTTGATTACAGTACAAACTTGTGTAAAACATCACTGTATCTTCTGTTCATATTTATTGCCCATATTGAATGCCAGAGGCAAGACGTCATGTTAAAATCCTTCCTGAAATAGTGCAAGAGGCCATTAAACAATAAATAGAAATTATTGATAGAAATGACCCTTCCAGTGCAAGTGCAGCATTATTATCATTATTATTATTACATTTAAACAGTAGTTTTATATAAAGTCAGAGTTAGCCGTGCTCTATTAAACACATTAAATGTTTGGCATTCTTATCAATGCTGAAGCGAGAGCCTAAATATTTGACATTATTAATTATTAACAATATGTTTTTATTACTGGACTGCTTCAACATAAGTCTTTTTTTAGGTGTGGTTTTTCCCCTCTTGGCTATTTAATGAGATATAAGAACATTTCTGTCATTGATCCGGCTGATATCTGAACACAAACAGATGAAATCCTTCAGTTTTTATACTTCTAAATAATTAATAAACATGCAGATGAAATGCTTTAACAAAACAACTCCTCAAAGTAAACCAATGATTGTAATGATGTACTAGACTCTCAGCAAATCCCGAACCTTCAAATGAATCTGTCTTTTACTGTTTCAAATGAAATAATCTGAATAATTTTCAGATATTTAATTTGTTTTATTTTATTGTCATTTTTATGTTAGTCATTTTTACTTGTCCATGTTAGTTGGACAAACTGAGAAAGAAACATTAGCCTCACTATATAAAAAGTGCACAGAAAATATAATGGAAGCTCACCAAACACAATCTAAACCAGACGCTGAACGCAACAGCGCTGCTGCACCGAGAGAACAGAAAAACCTCACTGCAAGAAATGATTGTCTTTGTATTTTTGTCTTGTTTTCCAGTACAAAAATCTAAACAGTCTTGACTCAAGATACAAGCAAACATGGCTTAAGATGAGTTTTTTCGCGATTGTAAAAATGCAGACATTTTTCTGTAAGGGGTAGGTTTAGGTGTAGAGCAATAGCACATACAGTTTGTACAGTATAAAAACCATTACGCCTATGGAATGTCCCCACAATTCACAAAAACAAACCTGTGTGTGTGTGTGCGTGTGTGTGTGTGTGTGTGTGTGTGTGTGTGTGTGTGTGTGTGTGTGAGTGTGTGTGAACGACAGGATGATTGTGGGTTTGAAACGCACCGCATGAATTTCCAGTTTCAAAATGAATAAAGACAGAATGAGAGTGAAGCTACTGCATGAAGACGTAGGGGTTAGTCTTGTGTGCGCCGCTCATATCGTGCCACAGCGGAGCGTCCACTGGCTCCTGCTTGATGCAGTGAAGCAGCCCGTGACCTTTGAACTCGTTACCCGCTTTATAGTCGTGCTGCACGTACCCTCTGTAGTCAGCAGCGTAGGCATCGATGCAGTGTGTGTTGTGTGCGCTGGCGGCCGCTGCGTCTCGGTTCAGGACACACTTGAGCGCTCGGGTCGAGCTGTAATAATGTCCGGCGTATGGCGCTCCCTTCAGCCGCTGGCAGGAGTACTGCTCTCCGAATCCAGCCTCCACTTTCATCTGCGTCCACGAACCGTTCTCCGAGTCCGAGTCCTGCTCCACCTTCACCACCGGCTCCAGCACCGCGTCGTATCCGTCGAAGCAGAAGCCCTCGCTCTTGTCTGCGCCGCAGTCGCTCCCGTAGGGCTTGGGGATGAAGGCCTCGGCTCTGGAGCTGTAATATCCCGGGGCCGATCGATACGGTTTAGCATAGTGTTTGCCGAGGACCGAGGAGCTTCTCGAGGGCCAGGTGCTGCAGTCCAGGTTTGTGAACTTCTGAACGCTCGTCTTGCAGAAGCTCAGAGGCTCGTCGGGGCCGTAGGGCCTTTCGCTCTTGTACTTGACGCTGTCTTTGCTCAGGAGCGAGGCACGTCTGAGAGCATCATCTCTGTCACTGCGAGACACACAAAGAGAAATCTGTCTCATTTCTGCAGTCAGCAACCCATGAGGAGGACACAAGAGAATCTGCTCTTACTTGTGATCTAACGAGGTGAGAACGCCGGGGTTCCTGTGTTTGCCCTTCATCACGCCGCTCTTCATCTTCATCTCGGTGATGGAGGGCAGGAGCAGAGGCACCGCGACACAGAACAGCGCTAGCTGAGGACGCAGGAGCGCTCCGGACGCCGTCTTCTTCCTCTGACCCTGAAGGAGCTTCAGTCTTCCCTGAAACTGCATCGTCTGGAAGCACAGACAAGATCAGGCATCTTCTCTCTGTTCTACATGATTATATACCGTAACATCTTCAGAGAAGGTAGATTACTTACAGATTGTAGTCTGTTACTGATTCCAAATTACATGAAAACTCTAGTTAGTGACGTAATCCATTATGTTACACATTTCAGGTAATATAATCAGACTACTTTTTGATTACTTTTAGATTGCTTGTGACCTAACTCGATTATCGCTTTGATTTAAATAGGATAATCTTGTACTGTATTGATATAAAAATACAAAGAGAAAGACAATATACTCCATGTGCTGTTAGTAACAACATGAAGTGCATTAAACATCATTTTACATCAAGGTTTCCCAAACTGGGGTTCGTGAGTTTAACAAAAAGCTAATAAATTAAATCATAAAAATAAAATAAATATTTTCAAAATGACAACAATCAAAATAAAACACTATTAAAAACACTACTAAAAACAATATTATACCCATTTACCTGCATGCAGAATGAGAATAACATGTAATCATGTAATCAATAAAAAAGTAATTGTAGTCTGATTAGGGGTATTTCAAAATCTAATAACAAGTACTTAATTTTTGGCATCGATTACATAATCCAGAATGCATGCAGTGGGTTACTAGCAGCACTGATGATAGAGGACAGAACTACGTGCAGCACACAGTGTTTCTCAAAGCACAGCCAGAGATGCAGCTCTAGTGACTCAAACAGCAGCCAACACCATGAAACCGGTCTGGAATGTGTTCTCTGTGGGATTTATTTACGGAAAAATCTCATGGCAAACACTGTTAGGAGTTGCTCTTCAGTCAAAGGGTAATGATGATCACACGCAGGTCACCCGTCACACACACTCCTCTGTTTATCTGTGATTGTGGCCTGTGCACTGTGCACTGAAAGCTGAAGGAACCCCTCACCAGGAATCCGGAGGTGCTGTCCAGTAAGCAGCGGACGCGCAGGATAAAGCAGCGGTTTAGGAAGCAGGAGAACTCTGGAGGAACGTCGCCCGTCTCAGACTGAAACAAACTGCTGACCACGAGATCTTCACCTACAGAACAGACACCAGCGTTACACAGCGAGTGTGAGTCTGGAGTGTGTGTGTTATATGTGGCTGAAGTCGCACCCGAGCCGCTTTGAGCCGAAGGGTTCATAGCCCAGTGCAGCTGCCGTCTGAACTCCTGCCGGTCGTCTACGTGAATGTAGTCGAACACGTTCTGATGCATCACATCCGTCTGAGGAGAGAGAGAGAGAGATGAGAGAGAGAGAGAGAGAGAGAGAGATAGAGAGAGGAGAGAGAGAGAGAGAGAGAGAGAGATCTACTAAATTTTCCTATCCTAACAAACCATACATCAATGGAAAGATTATTTATTCAGCTTTCATATATGTATAAATCATGTATAAATCTCAATTTTAACATTTTTTTAAAAATGAAGATCTACCCGGTCACTTACTTTTAATTTAAAAAAAATGGACCCTTATGACTAGTTTTGTGGTCAAGGGTCTCACACACACACATATATATGTGTGTGTGTGTGTGTGTGTGAGAGAGAGTGTGTGAGTGTGTGAG